TCAGCGACAGCATATTGTGTCTAACTTTTGTATTTAAGCTATAAAAAGTAGTTTTTATATTAAAAAATGTATTCGAATCATAAGGTTATATTTATCAACAATTATGAATTCTTATCAAAATAAGTAAACTTATCGTCTCAAGTGTTTAAACAAAAGACTTTTCCTTTTTTTAAAGGGTTTGAAGAGTTGCGGGAGAATAAAATCATGGCGACCATTCTCATAGGGCCAGCAGTGAGACAACTGGCTTATAATCCGATGGATTTACCCATATTGTTTAAAAAACTACAGAATCCCGTCAAGATCTCTTTTGCCTTCATTATTAAGAAGTCCCAGAGTCAAACATTCTCTCTGGTGAGCAATGACCTGAGAAATGGGCAATTATATGTCGGCTTATCTCGGGTTAGGACTCCTGAAAGACAATATATTATGGTACGTACCAAATAATAATATGTAGTAAAAATATTACCCTTCTTTTGGCAGTCAAGAAATAAATTATAGTACTCAGTAATAACCGAACCACACTCATAATTTCATCACAAGTAAAAATGTTTACCGCCCAACAAAGTGGGCACGGGTCAGCTAGTATGTTTATGTGGAAAACTTTTTCTGGTTCACACGATTTAATGGGTAATTACAGCAGTTTGAATATATTTAGAAAGAAGTTTTTGATTGGACTTATCGAGAGCATTTCATTATTTAGAGTTAAACACAAAAAAAAAACTAATTATATTTAATTTAATCTAAGATCCAATTTATTGAGTACAACAAATTTATAATATAGAAACGTTAAAAATTCCTTAAACTTTAAGGGTTAAAGTGTTAAAGTAAAAATGGACTATGACATATAGTCACATAGTCACTATGTAATTGTCAACATATTCAAAAAGTATGCCATATTAAATATTTAGGTTTAATAATTGATGACATATTAAAATGAAAGTATCATAAAAAAATATTGGTTAATACTATCAGAAAATTATTTTATAACTTTAAAACTTTAAAGTAAAGTATCTATATTGGATATAAAACATTTAAGAATTGTTTACAACTCATTAGTTCAATCTTTAATATTTTATGGATTACCCTTTTGGGATGGTACTTATATTGCTTATTTAACTCCTTTAATTATAAATATTAATGGTTTGATTAACGTTATCATCTCTAAGCCATTCTTATCCATCTAAACAGTTGTATATTGATTTCAATGTACCTCAATTGTCTATTTTATATTATAAGTCAGTACTTTTACTACTGTATAAATATAAACATTGTTTAAATTCAGTAGAGCATAATTATGATACAAAAGTAGGTAAATTAAATTACCTACTATCTAATCTAAATTCTATACAATTTAGTAAGATTGTTACCTCTCAAAGTCCAATTTATAAATGCACCTTACTCTGTCATAAATGAAATATAAATCTGTATAATTGTAATAATATTAATTCTTTAAAATTGACTACCTATTAAGAAAATACACCTTAATTATGTCATGCTTAAATAAGTTATAACAGTTATAAAAGGTATTATAATAAGTTATTTTATGTTTTTCTTTCTTTTATCATAAATTATTATACATTATTAAATTAAAAATATAATCTTTTGATAATGTAATGTAATGAATTTTTTCTTATATTTTGGTTAATAATGTATGAAACTTTCATTTCTTAGCACAAGCTTAGATCTTTTTAGAAGTGAATCAATATAACTTTTTATTTACAATATTTACTTTCCTAATTCTTGTATCTTATTTTATTTTATTTATGTTTGGTTGTTATATTGTCAAATAAACTTATTATTATTATTTAAAAGACCATGTACACATAATTTTTGCAAAAGTGTACGCCAAAGCTTTACTTTTAATGCAAAAACTTTTTAATCAATATCATTATTATGAACGTTTGAGGCTAAACATTTTTATCATTTTTACTTCTATGTGCATGTCAGCTTAAATCTGATTGATAATGACAGGGGCGTATTTATGGGGGTGGCTGAGGGGGCTTCAGCCCCCCCCCGAAATCCAGGAATTGTTTATTAAGTCTACGTATTATGTCCTACTAGATGTAAAATCGTAAAAGTTCACTAAGGTACATAATGCTTAATTTTGACATGCGGTACTGCTGCATTATCGTAATTTCGATTTCTTTTATCTAGAATTGATTTACTGATATACACGCGTTGTCGCGTTTCAATCACCGTACAATAATTATACGAGTATTACGAGCCTATATGAGCTAAAAATATTTCCGAGAAGTTGTGACGACGACGGCCGATAACGCTGTTATATTTTAATCGCTATTATAGATAAATATTTGTTGTCTGATATATACGACGTTTAGTATCGCACGTAGTACGTACCTACTAACTACTAAGACAGTGGATTGTAACGAGTGTTTTTATTTGTTGGTTAAATAAAATAATAATAATTAGGGAATTTCAGTTGGAGAAAATACCACAGCCCCCCCCCCCAAAATTATATCTAAATACGCCCCTGGATAATGACAATGGTTTATCAAGAAATTTTTTGTTAGCCATCGTTTTTTAATTTTAAAAGGTACTTTTAACTTTTCATGGGGTATCATATCTTCCCGACTCACACTAGCGTTCGTCACTTCGTCACTAACAATAGTACATTAAGGGTGAAGAGGGGGAGCGAAAAAAAAACAATTGATTCAAGCAGAACTTTTATAGAGTGACAATTTTTTGGGTGGTGGTGAAATTGAAAAATGTAAAACCATTATTTTAAATATATTGTATTTCATTAAAATTTTAAAAAGATTGTCACAGCTATAGTCTATTCAATTTAACTTGATATACTTACGCACATATTAATAAGCCACTGAGACGACCCAGACCGTTTTTGGTCGTCGATGTTCAGTGATGGTCTTCACTTAAAGAGTGTTATAAAGAATTTATAATTCGAAACATAATGCATATATTGTGGAAAGACTACTGAAATATCCAATATGTAATATGAAATCCACTGTAAATTATATTATTTACTAAAAAAATGATTAGATTAAATTGTTGATTTTAAAATCAACAATATCGGTATCTTATAAAAAATACAGCGTAAAATTACAAATTGTTACGGTGTTTTTACGTGCGTAAGAATCGTGTCGAAAAAACGTTGTGTTAATATATCTCTCTACGTATACTAAATGCGTGGCGATGAACAGTTTTCGTCTGACGAGTAGGTTAACTTAAACTGAATAGACTATATACCTAATAATAATGGCAATGTAATGAAACATATTAGTTTCATTAATCACAGATAATCAAAAGAAATAATTGAACAGTTACGCGAAATAATCTAACTGAAGTCGCGATTAACTATTAGTGTTTTTCGTAGATGAATAAATGTTTTAACTACTAATACATTGGCCGCATTTTAATCCGACAAAATGTAAATGAAATATAATTTTTAAAATTACAAAAAATATGCATGAATATTTTATATTTTCAATTAGTTCTTCTGAGTATTTTTTTACTAAAAATTAAAATATGTTAGGTTACATTAAACATGTATAAAGAGAACTTATTTATAAATAATATATTAATATCAATAAACAAAGTGATCCCATTCCACTCCTAGTGACAGCCTTGTAATTAAGTGTATGTAAAAATTTTTTGTTAAACTAATTTTCCATTTATATAATACCTTTATTTTTTGTTATTTTTGTTTAAATACATCTTATCAATGTTAATTTTATATACAGATAACTGTATTTTTATTAAAAAAAATTTAATTTAATAATTTTATACCAAAAAATGTTGTTTGAAATATTTTATGAATATTAGGTTAGATAACAAATTGTTTACATGGGAAATATCACATTTAACAAAAGTATTAATTTGTCAAAGGTATAAACTGTTAATGTTCATTTTGATAAAATAATGATTTTTTGCATTAAATACATACCTAAAGACAAATAGTGCCAAAAGTACTTATTTCATTTTAATTTCCTTAAATATTAGAAATAACCTACCGTCAGTTGTAATACATAGCATTTTATATAAAATACTATTATTTTAAGATCAATAGTAGAAATATAATAATTTTTCCAATGAAATATAGATAAATGTAGTATATATAAATATAATAATAATTATACAAATTTAATATTGTTAAATTTAATTAAATAAAAAAATTAAATTACAACAAGATACATTATAAATGTGCATTTAATGATAAAAAAAAATTCAAATTCAATTTTTAATCAACATAAATTTTTGTTCGTAGAAAATCATATTCCATACTAAAAATATTTATAGTTTTGATAATTATTTAATTTATAGGCTATTAATAATATATCAATTAATTTTTTTTCATCAAAATAGTGATGTACAAACAATAAATGATTTTTATTTTATATAGTAATTGAATAAGATTTTTCATAGAGATTATTCAATAAGATGCAAAACAAACATATTATTATATAAAAAAAAAAAAAGAAAAAAAATAATATTTAATTATAATTTGCTTTGTACTTTCACAACATTTATAAATGCCAATGATTATAACAATAATAATTTGATAATTTATTAATTATAATTGAATAATGAATACATAGTTTATGATGTTTATATTAACTTGTTTACAGGCAAATAACTTCTAAAAACTATATCTTAATACTCTAACAATATATTTATAAAATCTATTTTAACTTTCTTCATAACAAAAAATATTGTATTTCATTAAATGATCAATCATTAACTAACATACATTATTGTATTAATAGTTATAATTATAAATCAATTAACTTATTTTCAAACTGTTCCAACAATTCTTATAAGAATAAGTTTTTGAAAATATTGTCTAATTTCACTAACCAGTGAAAAAACATTTCATTTACATATTTATGATATCTAACTTATTTTTCAAAACTAATAAGTAAATCAAAAGTAAAATGCAATTACATAAATAAATAATAAATAAATAAACAATAATTAAATAATTATGCTAAGTAACATAGATATTTTTAAATGTAATTAGTAGTTTTATTGTTTTTTTTTCTCAATAATAGGTGAATAACATTAAAAAGGTATGTATATATTTTAATAAATTATGCATTAGATGTTGAATTGAGGTAAAAAATAACTACTGAGTTTCAAGTCGTTTCAACAAATTTATCATTTCAGAATCTTCAATACATTCATAATACTTTAATCCTTGTGGAGTTAATAAAGTTGTTGTTGCACCCTGTAAGTATCAAATTTTATGAAAAATAAATTTGTTTGACAAAGAAATATTTATGGGATGATTACTTACTTTATCAATTAAATATTTGGCTACTCTAAGATGATTTTCCCACAGAGCACATAGTAATGGAGTAATACCAAAATTATCTTTCTTCTGAAAATATTACAGATTCATATAAATTATAGTTTAAATTAGATAAACAAATAAAAATCATAATAATAACTCTTTGATTATTAATGACATAGATTGCATGATTATAACAACTATAAAGTTCCAGTTATCGATACATATAAATAAGACTAAATTATAAATTATTAATAGCTGACAATAATATAATAAAAATACATAATTCAATACATTTGCTAAATATTTTATCAAAATAAACGTTAAATAATTAATTTGTATAATTTAAATTTGAAATTTTTTAAGATTTATATGTAATATAAAAACTCATAAATACATTCATAATATACACTGTATTAAGGATATATTAATATTATTTTTATGTAGCTTAATAATCACAGAAATTATAAATTTAAATTAAATACAAAGATTAAAAATAAAATATTATTATATTTTATTAAAAGTTACATACAATCAATTAATAACAGAAAAATTATTAGTTAGATAACAGATTAAATTAATTGTTGTATATATTAAAAAAACATAGTGGTTTAATGTAAAACTAATTTCAAACAAATAGGGAATTTTTGTTTATACATTTATAGAGATAATATGACTAATTGTCATGCAATAGATACCATAATACAAGTAGTTATTTGATAAACATTTCTATTTTGTTTACACAAAAAATTTATATCATATTGAAATAATGATTTGTTTGTAAATACTTACATTTATATCAGCACCATTTTGAATTAAATATTCAACAATATCTAAATGACCATAATCACATGCTTTATGTAACATTGTTCTCCCATTTGAAACATTGTTTATATCCCAACCCTAAAACAAACACCCCACATGCTTATAATAAAAAATGATATAATTTAAATTGTAGTGATTACTCTCTTATCTAATGTGTTATATAGAGTTTATGAACACTAATGCCTATCATGATTTTAACATTTTACTAAAATTATTATTAAATTTATACTGTCCAACTAATTATATTATTCTTATAGATTATTTTAAAAATTACTTATTTACTTTATTGGATTTACTATTCTGTAGATACTAAGTAATTATCTTGGAAAAAATGACAATGTAAATCATAGTGGCTAGTGAAATTTGTATATTTTATTTTTGTAATTAACAATTAGAGATCTTACAGGAAAAATAAAATATTACCCCATTTTTTCTGGCAAGTCTTTGTAATTGTTCCTTAACCGTGTCAAGATCACCGATCTGTAAGGCCCATGATAAATCTTCACTGGCAACCGTACTGCTTGCATTTTCGTCGGGGCAGACTTCCATTTTACTAAATCCTATAAACTTTGGATTCTTAACGACGATTCAAGGTGAACAATTGTACAATAATAATAACAATAATAGATGCAATGAAATGAAAGTGAAAACGTTTTGAGAACTGTAGTTAACTTGTATCACATACAATGCGACAACCAATTTAACACGATTTATTGAAAATAGCGAAGTTACGGGTTCGGCTGTACGCTATTGAGCGGAATACTATGGAATTATTCAATAGTCAGTTGTAGGTGAGGTGCACTATTAATCTTTATTACTTTCTGATATAGGTAGGCCACCGATATATTATCATTTTGCTACCTTATCAAGTCATATATGAAATCGTTCATTATTATCAGACAAAACTATGCTAATCATTTATGACTTCGGGCCCGAAGGACTATCTAACTGCTGTTCGACGGCCAAAGAATTTGTATATAATATAGACCGAATCAAATGGAGGTATTGTTCACAGCACGATATAGTAGATTAAATGTAGGTACTCACGTCGTGGTTAATACGCGGGCACCCATTTTTTTTATGCATATAATTACTTTCATTGAATTACTTTATTTATTTCTAAAAATTGAAAAGTTTATAAAACTCGATATTTGCCGTAGACGTCCATATACGCTACCTGTACTTATAGGCACTTACATAATATTTTGATGTACCTACATCGTTTAAATAGGTATGGAATAGTAATGCCAAAAACGCAACAACAGTACGCATTATTACAAAAAAGTATTTGAGCAACGGTTATACTCGTAACCAGTGGTTGAATTGGAAAAAAAAAATAAAGGTGGACTCTAAATGTAGCTGAACAATTAGCGTTCCAAAGCAAATTAATCTAAAAAAAACCGTGGGGGACTTTGTCCCCCCCCACCACCTAAATGCATCTACAATATAAATAATTAAATATATCTAATGATTAACACAGATATCTATAACAAATAATAAACAATACTAATAAGGTATTTATTTGTATTAATTCTATCAACACAGCAACACGTCTAGCAAATTTAAAATCTAAAATGTAAATATATAGCCACATGATAAAATTAATTAATCAATTACCTTTCAATTTAAAATAATTCATGTATTTTACTGTTGCCTACAAAAAGTAAATATTAAATTTATAGATTATAAATGTTACTCTTTAATTAGTATATTAATTTTTTTTTGTCAATATTAATTTTAATATTTGAAGTTTAATATTAGTCAAATAATTTATTTCATCCCGTCACATTATTTTTAGGACTAAGATTTGCTGAGAGTTAAATAATAATTATTTTTATCATAGTTATGTATATGTATTACTTTAAAATGTATGACCAAAAAAATTTAAGGAACTTTTAACTGTATTTATTAACTTTTTTTTTAGGTAGGTACTAGGTACTTAAGTAAAAAGGGCTAATAACTTTTTTTGGAAAATCAAGTTTTTTTTATAAATTTTATCAAATTACAAAAAAATAAAAATTGCCGGGACTGACGTTCATTGATAATCAGATTGTACATCAGTTTTTCTAATAAATTTTATTTCTACTTTTTTTTTTTTTTAAGGCGGGATTTATGAGGGTGGATTATCAAAAAAAAAAATAAAAGTACACCGGTAACAGGAATCTGCGCACGTCTATGATTTATTATTAAATTAAAGTGTTTTAATTACCTTGGTTATTGTTTTTCTTTTTATTGAAAAAGTCCGATATGGACAATTTTTGACGTTTATTCATGTTTATTTGTTTATTGCTGACGTGACATGTAGGACTGTAGGAGTGCGGTTGAGGTGTTTACTATTTTCAACAAAATTACAATTTATAAATTACATACGCGAGTACGCGACAAGCTAACATAATACCGATTACTCATTCGTGGCGCACCTCGTTTCCAAATAAAATATAAATAATATTTAATTTTCCTTGAAAACGATCACCATTTGTTAATCGTCGATAACTAAAACAACGGACGGATTCTCAAAATACGGAGTCAATATATTATTATTGTCAATGGTTTACTAAGGATCGTTATATCGGTACACCCAGGGAAGTTTTCGTAATAATTATATTTTTAGCAATTTAGCAGCTTATACCACGAATTAATATGCAGTGGAAACACTTGAAACGTGTTACATAAATTATATAACATTATTATATATGTTATTATTGCGTTCCTAATATACATATGTGCTAATAATAATGAACAGATTACGAACTAATACCAAAAATTAAATAAAATATTAATCGTTTCCAATTTTTTTTCATATTTATTTAATTTTTCTTAGAATCAAATTCATATTCATATAATTGTTGAAGGACGCTGCGTCCCCTGCGTTCCTTGATGAATTAAATTAAGGGGTACGCTATAATATGAAGAAAAATGAAGAGTAGCTCAGACCCTCTGCGTCCCCCCCCCAATTCAACCACTGCTCGTAACTACTTGTGTCATACTGTCATGGTACATACCAAATATTATTTTAAAAACTTAAATTATTGAGTGTTCAATGTAGAATATTTGATGCTTAATTAAACTGCAATGTAATTTTCATGAGATTGTTGTTAATATTTTAACTCTGGCGTTATAACAGATCATTTACTTAGTTGAACCGAGCCATAGTCTCGAAGATGGCTATTATACAATTAGTACGCGAAGATATTTAAAAGTATAAACTATTAAATTGTTAGATATTTCGCATGATTTGTTAGTTATTTACAATTTTAATTTTAATTTCATTTAATTCATTTATCAAAAATAAAATGTTTTGGGCTTGCACCGAAGTTAAATACTTTATAGTTATGGTTTTTTTGTGATACTTGTGTTGGCATCTCCATCCAGGACACTTACTGATATCTTATAAAGGTTACTTATTTGTTCTTTGAAGATCTAAAAATAAAACATATATTATTACATTTTTATGTATACTCGTGTATTTAAATTTGTATATTGTATACCAATAATAATGATTATAAAAACAATACAAGTAAATAAAACCGTTCATAGGTAGGTACATCAAATGTCATAATCTTGAGATTATTTACTATTGTTTATTATAAGTACGAGTTAAAATGTGGATGGATACATTCAATGTATTTTTATAAACAATAAGTTATGATGCTGAGAAGTAGTACTAGTCTGAATACTATTGAGATATATCAAACTTTATTGTAAGATGTATGTACACTAATTATGGATTAGGAAAAATAAAATGTAAAATGTATTATTAAAAATAAATTAAATAAACAATATTTAAACACAAAAATTTGTAGGCACCTATCGAATTTACTTATTTGTATATTTTATTAGATTCTTTTTATTGAAATTCACTATTCACTTGTCTTCGAGTTATACTTGTTTATTTTAACCCATCACGGTCGTTGGTAATTTGGTATACAATATGTGAGCGCGACGCTCACATATATAACATTTCTTGCGTCAGTCCAGTGGCGTCATTTCAGTTCTTAATAGAAGGAGCTAAATATTTTGACCAGCTTAAATAGGTAACTTAAAAAAAAAAATCGGTTTTTGCACTCGCAATCAAATCTCTACTTAGATTTTCATCAAAGTACTGTATCTATCTTAAAGTTAGGTATTTTTTTCCGTCTTATTTTGTCCCTGAGCCATCATTAATTATTTTTGAACAATTATTTTCTACAAATTAAAATTTTTTATTTTGGTATTCATATTTTATAATATAAATATATACAAATTATAATATAAACGTTTGCTAATAATTGTAATTATTGTTATAAAGGGTGATGAAATATAAAAAAAAATTAATAAATGATAAATATTATGTCAAATTTTTTGAATAATTGATTAGAGAAAATGATGTTGGCTACTTTTGCGCCTTTGAATTCATCATCTGCTTCAACAGAATAAATAAAATACGTGTGATGAGTTTGGGGTGAAACCCCCTCTATTACATATATTTTATTTGTGCAATTGGAAAACATCTTTACAATAAAGCCTGAGATGTATATGTACAAGTATAATAATAATAAAACTAATATAATAGCAGCTACCGATTGGAATCTGTCGAGTACAGGGTATGATTGTTAATATAATAATTATCATATAAAATGGTAATTATTTCATAGTGAATCATGCATACCGCAAGAGGTAATTAAGTATAGGTGTAAAATTACAAACACTATATTTATTTAACACTTCATAAACTACGACTATAAATTACAGTATCTATTTAAATTATAATTGCACTATATTTATATGTATGCTCTCATACATATAAATATGAATGTATAGGTAAATGTATATGGTACATGATACTTACGTTTAATGTTTTTGTTTTCCAACGAAAACGATCAATTTTTTCCTCGATTACTTTCAAAAGTTCGAGAGATATTAAACCTTTTAAATAATAATATATGATTGTAACAAAATTAAATAAAAATCATATTTTTCATTTACACTTTAATAAAATATATTAAATTATTAAAATTCAGTTTTATATTTACCCAACAGTCGACATTGACCTAATCCAAGTTTTTGTACGATATTCAATACTTCAACACACGATTTTTCCTTGTAGAGTAATTCTTCAAGGCTTAGATCTATTCATACAATTGTTTGATGTATTATAATGACAAAATATGTTCCTTAAATCTACAAACAACCAAATCTTACTATTGTTTTTTGACTTCCATATAAATTTTAATCTTAAATCGACAACAAATGTACTATTTCTATAAATATTAAATGTTTTTAAAATTGTTTCGAAACGTTTCGGACACTGTTGTATACTGTTCATTAATGGACATAATTTTTTAAGAAGAGACGTTATTTCGACACTGGTTACTAATTTATGGCACTCTTTGCATTGCCAGACCGAAAACTTGTTCAACGGATTGACAGGCAAAACGCGACCGCTACAATTTTTTACTGTACAGTTTAAAGCAGCTAATTCCGTTCCGAATTCCTAAAGCAATAGGACAATATATGAATAATAATATAAACCAAAGTGAGTGCCTACACCGATTAGGCTTATTTTATTATAGGTGAATAATGCAACTATATTATGTACTAACTTCTGCATCGCAACATCTATAACAGGTACAAATAAATTGTTTTGACGTCAATAAATGATTTTGTCTTAACGAAGTAGACCAAAGTAAATGAGTATAAGTAGTAGTGATTTCTTGTCCTTTGTAAATCGGCAAGGAAGCTTTCACGATCATTTGAAGTTTTTCGTTAAAATTGTGCATCGTGTTTGGAACACAACAGTGATTCATAAAAGATGCCACGGGATACAAGCCTTTTAAACTTATTAATTTATTGTTACGAGTTATTATTGTTTCAAAACAGTTAGCATCCATAATTTTACAAGTTATTGTCATTATTTGTTCATCTTCCTCCTCTAGTTTCATACTGATGTTTTTTTTTAACTCTTCTACCTTTGAAAATACAAAATAAAAAAAGCAAATTTATATAATTATACGTATTTTTTATTTGCAAAATGATACAGAAAAAGAAGAGATTTTTATATTATTACGAGTATGGCCATATATTTTTTAGACATGTTGAAGTAGTAAGTACCTACAGTAAATACTGTACAGGTACCTCATACCAATACATGCCTCATCCTACAGTAGTATGTAACTATTAAAACATTTAAAATTATTTGTTTTATATTATATAATTTTAATATGCTATTTAATTATAGTATGATCTGGCAATCTGCCTTCGAAATTAAATCAGGAGATTTATATTTCTTGTAAAATTTTACATGGATTCATTATTCGAGGTAATTATGCGTTAAATGCTAGATTAATTTTGTTAGATTTTACAAGTAGTTATAAATTTGAAGAACACGAGATGAAGCTAATATATTCAAACGAACCGTATAAAAAAACTTTCACAATCGTCGGTATTCTTATTTTTATCGATTGCATGTTTATACAATGATATTTCTTTTATAAAGTATATAAATTGTTAGTACATGACACATTTATATTTTTAATAAGTATAAATAGTCAAGAGTATAGTAATTAGTATTAGAATGAAAATAAATACCTATATTAATAGAGTATTGATGTAAGAGAAAGATTAATCTGACCATAATCTAATTAGGTATTTTAACGTGAAGTCTAGTATAATTTTCTTATTTAAAAATACGTTCAAAAAAATTTAAATTTTTTAAGTCCTATTGTTTATGAATCAAATAATGCATTACTTATAATTCAAGCATGAATGAATAGTAAATATTGCAAATTATATAATTTGCCAAAGAATATGCAATAAAAATGAAAAAAATATGAAAACAATAAGTAAAATAGAAATTTTGAAAAAATAAAAAGGGTAAAACTCCCAGGTCGAATAGGACTCTACGGTCTAAGGACTGATGAATGATACTGATATTAAGCTTGAAACTAATGAAAGGTAATACTAATTTTTTTCCTTCAAAGAAAATCTCTTAAAATAATTTGAAACTAATTTTCAAGTCTTAAGTATGAATATTGAATGTTTTATGAATTTTTAACTACAAAAATATAGCGGATTTTCGTGATTCTTGTCATTTTGTCAAAATATGATAATCAAGCAGTCATACATTAAGCACAATTTTTTTCATTATCCAGAAAAAAATATATATGAGGAACATTGTATTGAATTTTAAAGAATTTTTTATCCAACCAAAACCATGTCAATGGCATTATATAAAAAAAGATAGGAGGTAGGATATCTAAATATATTCAAGTATCTATAAATTGTTCAAAAAAAAAACTCATAATACGAGTATTTTGAACATTATATCAAGTATTTTATTTATTACCAAGATCATTTAGATCATATTACCATTTAGTGAAAATAGTTTATTATTTTTTGAGTAATAATACAATAAAAAAAGTTCAAATTTGTTTTTATTATAATTTCTAAAATTTCTAATGGAAATTATGCGCATAGATAGAAAAAAGAAAAACACGAATCATGGTAAAATCTTATATTCACTCAGAATCTAAAATCAAATAAAAATATTGTTGTTAACATGCGAGTTATAATAATATTCACTATACCTATTACAAATATAAATATACTGCTGCCTATTAGAAAATAACAAAAATGTAGCTAACAGGATTTTTGTTTTTATACTTTCTAACCGCAAAATTAGTCAATCCACACTTGACTATAGAAACCGCAATCAATTCATCACGACGAGCATATTATGTATATGTAAATGCCACTAATGCATTAGACAATTATTTTTCAAGATATTATAATACATTTATATTGATTTTAATCAAATCGTGCTGCTATATGAGTTATGACGTAAAATTTACAAAGCATTTCATTCAAAACTTTATATCGATTACGAAAGATGAGCGTTAATTTATTCAGTGCTGGTTAACGAATATGTCATCCTGGGGCCGATTTTTGAAATGGACAACAAGTGCTCGAGTATGTTTAATAAATAAAAATGTCAATTGTTTATCAACAAATTATTATGTACAAAAACTCCTTTCAACATCTATAGATGTAATGGAGCATATTGCATAAAAGCTGTCATCGAAGCTGAGGTTATTTGGAGATACATTTTGGACATTTCAGTTCCTTCGAGTATTTTCGAAATAATACATATTGAATCAAATCTCGTATATTGCAAAAAAAAAAAATGTGTTTCAAGATTGTATTTGACGGAATTCGATTAAGAAGTATACCGGAAATTGAACTAAAAGGGAAAATAAGATATAAAAAGGCAAAAAAAAAAAAACTACTGAAGAAATTAAAAAGGTCAAAAATGCATTATAAAATTAATTTGTTGTTACATAATTCCAATTATGTACTAGGGAAAAATGATAAAAATTATAATACGTTGGAAAACTTCGAAACTTTCGTTTTCGCCGTTAAGGAATTGCCACCGGGAGTACGTACCCTTTGCATCAAGTGTATACGTTCAACAACCGAAATGTTTTGTAAATTAGCTGATAAAGTTTTGTACCTCGTACGCACATAGAGGCAGACGGACAGTTTATGTTTGCGTGAGGAGGGGGCGGCACGGGAATACGCATGGTAAAAAAATATTAAGCGGTTGTATGCGGTACGTGCGACGCGCAGCACACCCACCTCGACCGTCGGCTTATCCGTGAATTTTTTTTGCAGCAAGTCCAGGAACGACTTGTGCGCTCCTCCGTTCACTGCCAAGCCCCTGATGGCCGTTACCGCGTTGTAAACGGCCGCCGACCAACGCGATCCGTCGGTCTTCGGGCGCAGCCGCCGCACGTAGCGGCACTCGTCGGCGTGCGCGGGATCGTTGGAACACCGGTCGCTGCACACCGGCAGTCCGCACCCGCCGGCGCACGATCCGGTCGCGGCAAGACCGGGCGCTACGTAGCATACCGGGCACACAGGGCTCTCGGCGACGCCGGTCAACGTTCTGGGCGAGACGATCAGCGGTGCGTCGACCAATATCACGTCACCCTCGGCGTAGTCCTTGGTGGCCACGACGCCCCGGCCAGCCGACACCGCGGGCCCGGAGCCGATCGTCCAACCGACCGCCGACACCGACGGCTCGACCGCGTCGCGCAGGTACGCGGTCGCGCAACGGTTGACGCGGTCCTCCGCGTCGCTGTCGTCCGGTCGATCTCCCGCCGTTCCCCGGCGGCGGTCCATCGTCGTCGTCGTCGTCGTCGTCGTCGGGATAAGCCTTTTCCACCGCAACACTTTTACCGACAGCGGTTGCGCGCGTTGCAGCGACGGCGAAACGAGTGCGCGCATCACCTGCGCTTATTATCGGCGACGGCGACGCGCAATCCGATCGCTGCCGTTGGACCGCCGCCAAGCACGCCGAGAACTTTTTCCGCGCCCGCAGCGACCGAGGAAAGTCGTAAATAAATCATTGGGCGCGCGCCCGTTTCCAGAACAATAATTGTTCAATTTTTTTCGACCGTCGAAACGTCTGCCGATTCATTCGTCATTGTTGTCACTTCGGCCGCGGTACGTTTTCCGTAGACGACGGATCGTTACGGTAACCATTCGTACCCGGTGCTCGACTCGGAAAAATTAAATAAGGGGGGGGGGGTACTCTATTTACTTAAGAGCGTCCCCAAAACTTGTTAAACGTTAAAATTATATAATAATAATAGTAAGGGGCCGTTAAAGTTTCTGAAAATTAGTTGGGGTACTCCGCCCCCCTCCGCGTCCACCCTCAATACGAACACTGTTTGTACCGCGATTGATGTACAGCCTTTCGGCTGCTCCAATATCGTTTACCCGCCCTAGCAGGCGCGGATCCAGAGTCGGGGAACTGTGGGTCGAGCCATTTCAAGAGGCCAATTATTAGGGATGAAACTGAATTAAAAATTAATACCTTGCAAAAATAAAAACACAATATGCTCATAAAAGTGTATAAGTATATTTATATTACATTTTAGAATTAGTGATAGCACAAATAATGATTTATTTACGATTAATAAATATAATCTTATTTTGTCAGTGCAACAAACGGACGGAATAAAATATGATTTACTTAACTTTCTACTAAAACGATATAATTTAAAATATAAATTATGAATTGAAAAATTTTAAATTTTGAATATACATGGCATTCATTTTTAAAATAACTCCGATGAGCCAACTGTCCAAGAGTCCAAATCAAGGTCTAAAAAGAGAAAAAAATTTCCAAGAGGTCAATTTTGTCAACAAATATTAATTTTGGGTCAGCTGACCCACTGACCCCCCTCCCTTCCCTAGATCTGCCCCTGCGCCCTAGCAGTGGCGTTCCGGTAGGGTGGCACGACGGCCGTTAAGTCAAGGGTCTAGAGAGCCCATCGAGCAACGTTGAGAATCCGAAAAAACGGATCACCATTATTGCAGCGTTTAAAATAATAATGATCTTTAGAAAATAATTAAACTACTAGTAAAATGAAAAAACTTTAAAATAAAATCAATATACTATTTAAAAGAATGATTGATACACACTTATACATTATTTTATGTTTGGCGTTTGCTATTTGGTATGAATTTAAATAATCATTTTAATAGAGAAATAACAAGGGAACGCGCTCTATATTTAGAATGGTATAACCTCTAGTCTAAAAAATCGTATTGGCGACCATCGATTACTCGATCCGTACGAGTATGTACGAGTAAGACCGAGTATATACGAGTAAGTGGCCTGACATTATGATACTTTTAGTCGAACAAAAAACAGCTCGATAGGTTAAATTCGAAAATTTAATCAATAAGTTTACTGAAACAAAAACAAGAAAGAAAATATTTTAAATTTTGTAATGACCTCGTTTATATTATTTAAACCAGAAAAATGAGATACAAATAACGTGTAATAAAAAGCGACCATAATTATAATAAACAATCATGAATATGCATATTCATGATTGCTTATTAAACGTGTTTTTAATTATTTATTACGTATTAGCGGAGGTGGATCTTTGTAAGACCGCTGGATTATTTTCCCACCAACAATCAGAGTTCTAGTTATACCATTACTTACATATCTATACTTTTTTTTTATTACAATTATTTTAGTTTTTGTTTTATTAATTATGTAAATATATATATATGTATATATTCTTAACTACAAAGTATATTAATTTGAAAATAATTTTTATATTGGTTTACGTCGATATTAAAATTAAATTACTTTTTTAACAGTACTTTTTACAACTAGAATAAACAATTAAGTTTTAAGTAACAGATTTAAAAATAATTCATTTTTTACTGTAAAAGTTATTGAGCTTATAAATAGCTAATAATAATAATTTATATATAAAAAAATATGTTTGTAATATAATATATGTATTTAAAGCTTCCGGATATGTATTAGGCCCCGGGATCTTAGATACTATAAAAACGGATTTGTGTGAATGTCAACACATTTATCGTAAGGATATGAAATTGACAAATATTTGAGTTTGGCAATCTCTTTAAAAAAAAAAAAAATGTTTTTTACATTATATTATATATACATTGAACTTTCTTTTGTAACGACCGACTTTCTTACTATAACATATAATTAGTAAAATAATTACAATAAGTGAGACTCTACAATTAAAATACAAATAAAATACGCTAATAAGCGCTAAATTATGAATTAAAAACTAGAGTGAGTTCACTTAGTGGTTCATCTGACGTTTATAAAGAGGTACCTACTTCGATAAAAAAAAAAAGAAAAACATTTTAATTTATAAAATAGATCATATGCTCTCAAACGAATTTCATCCATCACTCACTTTGAAAATCAAACATTTTATATAAACATGCAATATCCCATTTCTGAGTTCAAACATATTTTAAATTACCTTTTTGGATGATATCAGTTAAAACGCACAACTATTGATATTAAAAAGTATTTTTATTAAAATTAAAATAATCTTAATCATATTTATCTTAATAGGCTATAAAAAAAATCTTTTAATTTTAATTTTTTTTTTAAATGTATCGCATGTGAAGGATACACTTCATGCATATTAACGAGTTTATTAATATCATGCTCGAATTTACTTAAAAACAGCCGTAAATCACCGCGTTTGATAATATGCAGTTGATTTCTCTTTTTATTAGCAGTGTTGCATCAATACTAAATCCATATTCGAACAAATACGATAAATTTAATGTTTTTATAAATCGTTGAACAATCAACTATAAAACAGGATATAGTTGCATGATTGGCTTTTGCATCAAAAACTCTTGATATCCATTCTTGATTTTGAGTTTAATCTCCTCGTTTAAAATATTCTGGAATCGTTCTTTAAAATTAGCGTGAAGATTGTTTTAATAAGATTCTACTGTTAAATTAGGAATGTTATTAAATTAATATTTGCCAATATTTCTCTAATAACAGTTTGGCTACGAATATTTTTTTTGATAAATAACGCACATAGGCTATAACGGATTTGTTCGACTTTAATGGTACCGAATTCAATATTTAATGTATTCCACACTATATTACAGGTCACTTTTATTATTATATTACCACTAACAATACTCCATCCCACGAAGAAGTTCTGACTACGCATTGTATTATAAAAGTAATATAATCAATAATACTGTGGGGATACAGTGTGTAGCCCTACTAATCTCACGGTACCAACTGTTACCTACTTCATTATTTGTATTTTATGTATTATGTTTTACGAGTACTTATAATGATATTAAATTTAATTGATTTTAAGACCTGACTGTTTTAACGACGACGGTTACTTTACTCGCTCTCGCCACCGAGTTTGATGTCCGTGTTTTGCTTGATGCCAATTGTCTTTTCTGTTTTGTTAAGCCACGTCGGGTTATAACCTAGGTATACCTATAAACTATAGTTTTTAATATTTCTTAAAATACTTTCATTTTAACTTTTAATAATATAGACAAGTAGACTTACATTGCTTTATATTTAAAATATTTTCATTTAATGAAAAAGCTTCATCGGCAAGAAAAACAAAATTCATGTTTTATACAGTATCCTTATTTTTGAAGAGGCTTAATTTTTTGTTGTTGTAAAAAGTCAAAAAATAATGTACTTTCAATTACTCCACCATTAGATACTGTTTCTTTTTTACCTACATCTATCTAAATAAATTCGTAGTTTCTGTTAACAATAGCCAATAACACAAAGCTGAAAAACCCATTATAGTTGTAAAATTGTGCTCCTGTTTTTGGAGGTTGATCAATTCTGATGGGCTGCTTACCGCCGATAGCGCCACCACTGTTAACAAATCGCCATTGATTTTGAAAGCCAGAGGCTTATATTACTCCATTCTGAAGAATTCGTAGGAAAATATTAAAAAAATTAAAATTATTATGAATTTACTATTAATACAAAAATTATTTAAATGAACATATTATTTTTTAAGTTACGATGAAATAAACATCGTTTAATCGAGCGATATAGTGGAAACCCTCGATTTTATCAAAATATAATTAACAATATTTACTATAACACTTATAAAGTTTTTGATTGATAGAGGAATAAACAATGACATGAAAGCTTGAATAGGAAGTGGCCCACTGATCACATCTATAATATTACTTAATATACCTATATATTATAAAACCATTTTTTTTTTTTTTTTTTTTAGTAGACCCGCAGTACTAAACAGTTATACTTAAGCAAAAAAAATAAGTAGGTGGATATGTTTTAGCTATATTATAATTTTAATAAGCGTTTCGGTTTTTCATTTTAAGCTCCATATAATGATATAGATTAATAGATACTATTTTTATATTATTTGGTAGTTATGTTACGTGCCACCGGCTCAATTTCAAACTGAGCAGTCGAAGATGTGTTTAATTTTAATTAATTAGACATGAGAATTAAACTTTTAATATATTTAATACGTTTATTTTATAATTCAGTGTTAAACAAAATTCTGCTATTGAGTGACGTGAAGTTGCTTGCAGTTCCGAGACTAGAACTTATCTGATTTGTGTTCGTTTTCATCATCCTTTTATATTGCTCCATTGACGTCATAGGACTTGTTTTGGCAATATCCAGCGATAGGCCTTGTTCCTATTCTAGGAATATAGATTGACATTTAACGCACCTTCCAATTATTACTCGGCTCACGACCAATCAGTTAAATATGACAATACGTTGTCTTACGCAATACAAATAATATAGTGTTACATAATCACACACGGTTTCTATTTATATATGGTAGCCCATAACAGTTAATTAACAATATAGAATTTTTATTTGACAAAACTTATACATTTGTTGTTTTACATAGTACAGAAGCAAAATGTTATGGATTATGAGGTTATTTATTGTCTATAATTTAAATATGATTCTGTGAAGTTATTATAAGTGACAATTAGTAAATTAATTAATATATAGGCACTTAACAAATAATTATATTCTTTGCAAGTATACCAATCTAGCTATATAAAACGAGACTTTTTTTTTTTACATTCAAGAATTTGATAATAAAAGTTATTTAAGATTGAGTATATACTACTATTATGATCTCATAATTTATATTTATACATTACAAATTTTTTACATAAAAGGCGACTATAGTAACCATTTATTTAATTAAAATGTTCGCCAATTACAATCTAAAGATAAATGTTTAACAAAGTATGATAAATAAAATTTATTGTTATGAGAATAGGTACATTCATAACATAGCCATTTTTATGAAACATACGATGATAAGTTTATTTTATTTAAAGATTATTTGATTTAGTTATTGATTACTTATTTAAAGATCTATGAGAAGCATGAAGATATGACCTGTTTTGAGTCTATATAATTGTACAATAAGTGCATAGTCTTTAAAAAGCTTAACATAAATAATCTATGAAATCATTAAATATTAGACATTAAAAAATATCAACTAAATTTTAATTTTAATTTTTTATTTAATTAAAGTCCATATATTTTACATCAACAATGTATAAGTTTTAAAAATAAATTTAAGTAATTTTAATTTATCTAACTGATCATAAACCTTCAAATAATTAATTACTTATCAAATTTCAAAATCGATAAATGAACTAAATAAATATGATACATCACATAAATATATTAGGAACTAATAACTTAATATACAAAATATAATACACAAATCAATTGTATAAATGATTATTTATAGCATTAAGATAATTAACGAAAACACTGTAAAATAGAAAATTCTTAAACAACAAGAGTTCTTTAAATCTATAGCATACAAAACTATTATTAAATTATAATTGTAATAATTATCATAAAAAACACACCCTGTAAAATGATAAGTTAACATTAAAATTAAACAATGATTATGATATAAGTAACATGAAAAATGAGATAATAGAATATTAACAATTTCACAGTGTATACACTTTTATATTAATACATTTAGATACTTATAAAATTCATGAAAAAATTAGAAAAATCCTCAATGAATCATGAAATTAATACTATATATATTGTTTTAGAAATATTTTATTACAAATTATACAAAATTAATTAAAATACTTCAACAAATTGTAAAATATTAATAAATAACAGGATGAATATTACATTATCGTAAAATTGTTCTACAATGAACATAGTTTTTATTTAATGAATAAATTGGTAATTACAGAACAAAAACTCTGCAAATTAAATTAAATCTTTAATACTATGAATGTACTTAAAGAATTAAAAAATACATATATAATTCACATATTTTTAAAGTGTCAACAATGAAAAATATATCAAAAGGACAAATAACATTTTTACAAAAGATAAAAATTATGTATAGATTAATAAATTATTATTAGTATGATAATTCAATTACTGAAATTTAAAAACATAAAATTTACATCACGCATTATAGATTCTTATTATTAAATTACAATAAAATTATGCATAAAATAATAAATTAAAATTGTATAAATTTAATAAAATACTTATTTAAATATATTTATTTTAATAATTTACAATTATCTATAATCAAATTGACAAATAGACGTTTTAAAATATGTTTGATTACAAAATTAATAGGAATATAGTTTTGGATTAAAAAAATGTTCACTCTTTAAAAAACAAATTTTTTGGAGTAACATTGTGATTTGATTTTTAAAGTAGAAAAGATGTAGACTACATTATAAATATTACATTTAGCAATAAGATAACTAAACTATGGTAGAATACAATTATTTAAATATAAATCAATTATTAAATTATTTATAAATAATACATCAAACTAAACTAAAAAGTATAAGTCATTATAGTTTCAAATCATCAAAAGAATACCTCTTAATTAATTGTTAACAATAAATATGAACAGTTATTTATTAGAATGCAATAGTATTGATGGTATTTGATTTGCTTGGGGTAGGTCCAAATCCATATTTATTTTCTGCGTAGACTTTTCATCATTATCCTTATCTTTAGGTAATGCGCTTGAATTAAGTGAAACTTGATTATTTTTCATAGATTGAAATACTTTTTTAGTAAATGTTTCTGATTTGTTTATTAGAAGTTGTGGCATGCTTTCATACATCACCTCCGAGGTTTTTAGTTTGTCTGGTAACTTTAATTTAAAGTTCAAAAATTCATTTGTGAAACCTTTAAAAATAAAATGCAACCATTACAATTTTTATATTTTCAGGGATTTTATAGAATTATATATTAAAATAAGTTAAATTTTATTATAAAATTAAAAAGCATAATTAATTATTTTAATATCTGATTTAAAACTAAAAACTAACTAATTATGAACTGTAGACAATTTGATTAAATAGGTACAATACATTTAAATTATACAGTTTAGTTTGATAAATATATTTTGAATATATATACATACATTAGATTGGTAATACAAGTTTTGATAATGAAATAAATATTAAATACATATGATTAGTTATAATTAACAGACACATATTATAAATTAGATTAAACAGAAAGTGAAATTTGGATTGTGTTTATTAAATAGTGAAATAGTAGAATTTCATAAAAATACTAAAATACTTTAACAGTATTTAAAAATTAAAAAAATAATGTAAAAACTAACTAGTTTTAGAAACAAAAATATATTGTATGTAGGAAATATGTAACTCTTACGTTTTTTAATATAGCTTAACTTTTGAAACTTTGAATGTTTTACCCATCCCAAAAGATTAACATTGTTATGTTTTCTCATCCAAGTTTTGTTTTCATCTTCTTCATCGTTATGTGAGCAGAACAAAGGCCATAATTTGTTACCATAAAACAAATCATAGTATTGGGTACATATTTGTCTGACACAATCTTCAGTTAAGATATTTGAACGGGATTTTACTTGAGCTTTTTTACATTCCTGAAAAAAACATTTATGGCCAAAACAATTATAAAATATACTGACTGGTAAGACATTTCAAAATAGAAATTTTGAGTAATTTATTGTTAAATCAAAATTTTAGAAGTAATATTATATATTTAAGACTAAATGTACAGATATAATTATAACCAAATAAACACAATTATTTAAAATATTGATTCATACCCTAATTAAATGAAATAATTTGAAGGTAACTTCAATTTGTACGAGTTGTATTGCTGGTTCATCTAAGCTTAAAGGTGGATTATCAGCTACACGTTTTCTTTTATTTATTTCATCTATACATGTTTGTACAGAATCTTCTGAAATAATTAATTGAGAAGTCCTTATTCTTAATGGAATTGGTGTGATATCGTTACTAGCAATTATTTCAGTTTTTACATTAGGGTCTGATGGACGAGGTAAAGGACAACGAGTTGGTCGTGGAGTCGGGTGTATGGATTGAGAAGTTAGTCTAGGTGAAGCATTTTGCTCTGAAGAATTTCGTGGAAAAGGATATCGAGGGGATGGCATATTTTTTAACACCTGTTAACATACAAAATACATTTTATTAATTAATAATACATTTGTTATAAATTAATTATTTTTTCCTCATTTGTAATTGATTATTTACTGGTTTTAATATAAATCTATAATCCACTCCTCTTCGTTGTGATGACACCATAGGTCGATAGCCTGCTGGTAAAATAACTGAACGAATAGTTGGATGCTGTTGTCCGATGCGAATATTATTTTCGATATTTGGCTGTAAGTTACCACGAGTAAGTATAGTTCCAGATTTTTGAGATATTGGAACCTGCATGTAATTTGTATTGAGTGATTGAATACTTGATGTAGAAGGTCTATTATCATTTGCATTTAATACCTTTAAAATTATAATTTTTAATTATTTTCCAGAAGGTTAGGTTAGAAGATATACTATCTGATAATTTGGATCCAGCCAGAGTATACATTAATTTTAATATAGTACTTACTTATTTTATAACTAACATACCATTTTTTAAACCTTATTTTATAAATTATTGCTACTTTTATTATTTAATTTTTATTAATTTATATACATACATATATATCATTATTCATTTAAACAGTAAATACAACTGATTATTTAAATAAATAAAGACACTTAATTCTTAATATTTAAGGTTGAATAGAAAAATATTATACAAGTTGGATATATTGATTATAAACACTTTTTCAGATTTGACTTACTTGTGTTGGTATATTGACAGAGTTCAGAACTAATTTACAGTCCGTACCTTGCTGAGAAGTAACAGTAGCATTTCGGAAATTGGATGGTAAAATAACTGAACGAACTGATTGGTGCTGAGATTTTTGATGTTGATTATCAACATTAGACCTTATAGTATTTGTAGAAAGTACAGTTCCAGACTTTTGAATAAAAGGTATTTGCATAAAATTTGTATTGATCTTTTGTAAACTAGATATAGGAACACTTTTAGTACGGTTTGTTGAATTTGTTGCTAATATGAAACTGGTACCAGCTTTTTGTTCTTTTAACTCTAAAATTTGTTATTAGTTTATTCAGCTGCCAGCTTAACTTATTAATTATAAGCAAATACTTACTAGGTCTCAAGGCAATTTTTGGGGCCTCATTTCCTTTTACTTGACTATAATAAGCTGAGTTTAACTTAGGAATATTAATGCCAGATCTTTGTAAAATTGGAGTTGTTGATGTGGTAATCCCGATAGTTCTGGGCACTATAACACAATATTATTTTACTATAGTAATGCATGCAAAAGTTAAGAATATATTAATGCCCTATTATCAACTAAAGAATTATTAATAACAGAACAAAACAATGCATTTGGGTAAACTTACAATTGTTGTCTACAGCAGTTGAAATCGGATTTTTTAAAGATTGTGGTCCTAAAGGAGAAATTATACTAGGATTTGCTTTATGAGCACTTGATGTAAGAACGAATTGTGTGTTTTGTTGTGATTCGCTAGCTATTGTATTAGTAGTAACATTATTCATTCTGACAATATGAGCACCAGACGGTAACACGTAAGAGACGTTTGTTGGCTGTGAACTGGATGATAGAATATGCCTCACATTGCCAGTATTTACATACTGGGGCCCGATCGCTCGAGCGGTTGATTGGACCACATACTGATGTGTGATTGGTACTTGTGAACCAGCAACGAGGGTGTAATTGGTGATAGGTCTTAAGTTGCTAGACGTCAGTTGTATGAAGTTACTGGAAGACGGTGTAACAATGGCTGACGTTGTTAGGCTTGTGAATATTTGACAGGTCACCGCTGTCGGCGTCTGGAATGTAGTGAAACTATTGGTACGAGTTTTCTGATCCATTTCGTGCGACAGATTAAAGCAGACTTAACCTAGCCGTATTGCACGAGCGTGCAATCGACACGCTATTGAGGATCGCAAACGATTTCGTTTTTCCGTTGGTTACGAGCGAAAACAAATCACGGAAAACACGAGAAATTACGAACGTGAAAAACGTTGACGTTCCGAGTGAAAATAAAATATTTCGTACAACCACAAGAGGAACTGTACCGACTGTTCAAAGTTAATCAATGCACCAAACAAACGCTGAGCGGCTGACGGTTTTGACCGCTAATAATGGTATAGATAACCGGTGAACGGTGTACGCAGTCTACACCGGTGCGTTGATAAAAACTGCACTGTGTTAACACCGTGTGAACCGTGATAAAAATGATAAGATGGAGTCTGAGCAATAAGGAGGAAAACAAGGAGACTATTGATTTTTGGTGGCTCGTGTGGCTAACCTAACCCATAGGCGCGCGCAGACACAACTGGCAGATTGGTCGTACGTAACGCATAAACATTTAACAACAAATGTAGACAGGTTAACTTACATTTCACGTAATAATTATATCTATCCAATATTCTTATACACGTGTTTACCGTTCACCGAACGTTTCGAAGTGGTTGAACATAATGTGGTTATTTATTATTATCAAAGCCGTAACTGGGGGGGGGGGTCCAGGGGTCCGGACCCCCCTCCACCGAAATTTTCAAAAGTTGAAACATTTTAGCGGTGAATATAGTTTATTAACTATAAATTGTATTAAATAATTATGTTATTAAATAAATAATTTTTTTTTAAAGATTTTTATCATAAAATAAAAGTTAGGTATCATATAAAAGTTTAGATTTGATTCTTGTATTGTAAACATTTTTCTTTTTAAAAATTTAACATTGAGATTCAACACTTTCTCTGCCAAATAGAAGGTTTTTTAACCATTCTAGACATTACAGAGCCATATTAGGACTATAATCATTGTGCCTTAAGGCTAGTGCCTACGATAGTGTTAATACGAACCTGACGGACCCCTATCATCTCGTTTCAATGATTATTATTGCTTAACGGTTATGCCGAAGTTCATAGCCGCACACGACCGAGAGCGATTATTGTTTTTGAAAAGACCGAAAGGTTTATTGGAAGAAGATGGGATCCATTGGATGTAAACCGGTCACCATTCGGCATATTCTTTTTTGTGATACGAGTGCCCAGAAGAAGGTATATAGAATTTTTAACATGTAAGATGAACGCGATAATCACGGAAAAATATATAAAATCAGTAGTGTTTTCATAGGGTATACTACATATATGCCGTATACCCTCAATATTATTTTGAAAATTCATGGGTATACTATGTATGCTCTCAAGTTTCAAATACCTAATTCATGAAGAAGTATTAAATGTAATCAGTTTTACAGGTTTTAATTTCGGTCTTGTTTTGTAATAGACATTCAGTTTTCCCTCAAACGATTAGTAGATGGTATTAATTTGTTTAAATAATTTTAATTTATAGGTACATCTATGTTAAATAAAAATGTATGTATTTAAATTATTTGTTAATATTTACAGAACTTTCCCCTCGTCACCACCATCACCATTTAAATCATAAAAATTTCCGTTTTCAGACACACATCTGTGTGATGTACTCTCAACAAAAATTGATGGTAACATCACTATATCTAATTTCGTAACTTGTAGCATAAAATACAAAACTGTAGCCAAACCAATTTATGCATTATTGTTAGTAATCATTTTCAGATTTATTAACTACGAATATAGATGATAAAGATAATTATGTAGAATCACAAGCATCGAATATCATATTGGATCTAAAATTTAGGTAAAGGCACGCATATAATTAATGAAGTATTTAATGAATGTATAGATGTATTAGAGTATAGTTGTTTCAACAGAAGTTCAGCGAGGCTTGATATTGGTTTTGATTTTTATCGAATTGTGGGTGCGTGAACATCGCGTGAACTGCATTGCACATTGTACGTGCGCTACGAGTTGTATATCGATGTCAAAAGGGCGTTTACGCTTCAGCGTCCTCGTCCTCGTCTCCTTCTCCTTCCTCTTCGACGGTCGCGTCCTGGTACTGCTGGTACTCGGACACCAGGTCATTCATGTTGGACTCGGCCTCTGTGAACTCCAACTCGTCCATGCCCTCGCCGGTGTACCAATGCAAGAACGCCTTGCGCCGGAACATGGACGTAAACTGTTCGGCCACGCGTTTGAACATCTCCTGGATGGCCGTAGTGTTGCCAATGAACGTGGCCGACATTTTCAGGCCCCGGGGCGGTATGTCGCACACGGCCGTCTTGGTGTTGTTCGGTATCCACTCGATGAAGTAGCTGGAGTTCTTGGTCTGCACGTTGAGCATCTGCTCGTCCACTTCCTTCATTGACATGCGGCCGCGGAATATGCTGGCCGCGGTCAGGTAACGGCCATGTCGGGGGTCGCACGCGGCCATCATGTTTTTGGCGTCGAACATCTGTTGCACCAGCTCCGGCACGGTGAGCGCGCGGTACTGTTGGCTGCCGCGCGACGTGAGCGGCGCGAACCCGGTGATGAAGAAGTGGAGCCGCGGGAACGGCACCATGTTGACGGCCAGCTTCCGGAGGTCTGAGTTGAGCTGCCCGGGAAACCGGAAGCACGTGGTCACGCCGCACATGGCCGCCGACACCAGGTGATTCAGGTCGCCGTACGTGGGCGTGGTGAGCTTTAACGTTCGGAAGCATATGTCGTACAACGCCTCGTTGTCGATGCAAAACGTTTCGTCCGTATTCTCCACTAGCTGGTGCACGGACAACGTGGAATTGTACGGTTCCACCACGGTGTCGGACACCTATGCGGTAAAAGACGATCATTGGAAAGGGGAATCGGAAAATTAATTATGCAACCGATAAGTACCCGTAGCACACTTGATACGGATGACCGTCGTGTTAAATTGGAATCCGAAAAATTTTAAAACCTATTATTATTTTTAAGACAAGTCAGGTAATAAGATCAGGGAAAAAGCGTAGCGTAAACCTTGGACTTTTAAAACATCTAAAATATGATGATTAAATTTATCGCGACACAACTGCAAGTACAAACTATTTATCATGAGCTATATGTTCGCTTTTATTAAAAATGTAATCGTGTATACGTTGTATTGTATCATATGAGCACTTAGCACTCTTTTATGCGATTAATAATGCGCATTGCATGACGTGAAATGCAACGTCGGACGGGTCTTGCGCAACACGTCCACACTATATGGGATGGTTTCGGGCACACTTATATTTATTTTATGAACATACCTTGGGCGAAGGGACAATGCTGTACGTGGTCATGATTCGATCCGGATATTCTTCACGGATTTTCGATATCATAAGAGTTCCCATACCAGAACCGGTTCCGCCGCCCAACGAATGGGTCAATTGGAAACCTTGCAGGCAATCACAACTTTCCGCTTCTTTCCTGAAAGTTTTTTTGCACATTGTTAATCCGTTTTTTTACGTGTACTCGAATTGACCAACATAATTTCAATGTGTCACAAGTTTCGTTATTAACAAAAATTTACCTGACTACATCCAACACTGAATCCACCAGTTCAGCACCTTCTGTGTAATGACCTTTGGCCCAATTGTTGCCGGCACCGGACTGTCCGAAAATAAAGTTATCTGGTCGAAATATCTGACCAAAAGGACCTGATCTCACGGAGTCCATAGTGCCTGGTTCCAAATCTACGAGGACTGCCCGCGGTACATACTTCCCGCCTAATATTTCATAGAACGTTAGCACATAAAGTGTTACAATTATTACAACTACTATTATATATAAGATTGATTATTTTCACAAACTTTCCCTAATAAATGTATGTATACATATATTAAACTATTTTATATTTATCTATAGAATTTTACCAAGTGCTTCGCTATAGTAGACATTGATTCTTTCTAACTGCAGATCAGAATCACCGTGGTATGAACCGGTTGGATCAATACCATGTTCATCAGATATAACTTCCCAAAACTAGACAATTGAAAGCAAATACGTTTAATTTTAATGTATTCAGTATAAATTCACATTTACACATACATACATACAATGGTTGACTTGGAAAAATTAAAGAAGGGGGACTCTGTTTGCTTTAAAAAAAAAGAACGTTCCTAAAATTTGTTAAGCGTTATAAATATAACGTAATAATAATAACAGAATGATAACATTTCTGGAAATTAGTTGGGGTACTCCGCCCTCTTGTGTCCCCCCCCCCCCCCAAATCGAGCACTGCATTTATATATACACACGTTTATAGATTTCATATTTGGTAATACGGTAATATTTTAAGTCTTTCGTAAAATTGTAATATGTATATGGGCGTGTATGTGACAATGTTGATATCCTTGTAGGGTTGTATTTATATATGTATATATATATATAAAATATATTCATTACTTTAGCCCCGATTTGATTTCCACATTGTCCGGCTTGCAAATGGCAAATTTCACGCATGATGAGTGTTTCAGTTGAAATCGTATGTGTTTTTTATATTTTCGTATGATCGAATAAATTAATAAAATACTAGATTAAAGTCAACATGAAAATAAACAAATAATATCTACTTATAAATAATTACATTTTAAGCCATTCTGGCCAACATAAATACAATTAACGTTACGGATTATTTTTGCGAAGAACGGTATTACTGTAATAAGATAAATTATGCAAGATAAATCAATATACCTAGATCAATAATGATATTAGATAAATATAAAAAAAAATTATTTTAGTTATTAAACAATTAAATTTATTCTCTATATTGAAATAACTTATATAATTGTATTTAAAAATAACAATGAAATTAAATAAGTGTTGGTATTTATACATGTATTTAGTTGGTCTATTAAATTGTATTTTATATATCTAACTATTTCATACATACCGACATCACATTCGATTAGTTTTTATTTCCTGATATCACTTTAAAATAATTTATTAATGTATCTTAATATTCTTAAAATTCTTTCTGCCATTTGTTTAAAATATTTATACCTCAACTTGTAATAGTAAGTGTATATAGTGTTTATATATAAATAGAGCATAAAATACATTTTATTAAAAAAATGGTAGAAGAAAGTAACTTATAAAATATAATTTTGAAACTTCTACCTTAATTTATTTTTTGACATTTTTAAACTAAATATTTCATTTTGCTTTTATTATTTTTCGTGTGATCAAATGAAACGGAAAGAAAATAGGTATATTAACCAAAAATGTCAAATATCGTATCGATGTGAGATTGTTTTAGTTATTTAACATACATTAATAGATTTTAGTTTTTACTATAATAATTTATACTTTAAATTTTATGGTCATTATTACCACAGATAGAGGCCCTCAGATATGTAAATATTCGCACTTTTACAAATGTATGTCCTAGAATCACTACATTTTCGACCTGATCATTTTCTGGTAATACCTTCATAAATTTGATTTTATCATCGTTCACATTCAGCTTTATGGCTTTTGCTTCATTAAGGAGGGCTGAGGTGCTCTGGGCCACATTCTCCCCATCGTCACCAACTATATTCAAATCAACTGCAAACTTAAAGTACTAATCATTTTTGTGTCGATGTCGATACAACAGTTATCCTCTGTATATTCTATAAAACTTTCTCCAGTGCAATATTAAACAAAAGAGGTGAAAAAGCGTCACTTTCTTTTAAGCCTGTTGCCTCTTGGAATTCTCCGGATAGTACGTTGTCGGTTCTTATTATTAGTATAATATACTATATATTATATTTGCCGATCCTGGGACAAAAGAAATCCATTGTTCTCCGGTTGGTCCTGCTGGTCCTCCCGCTGCCGCTGCCACTGACTGGTTCTTCCCAGCCGATTCGCTGCCGTCGTTGTTGGCTGGCCCCCTCTTCCGACCTTATCCGCCACAACTGCTGTCTAGTCTTCTCCCCCTCCCCCCGAATCCACTGACACTGCTGTCTTGATAACAATTACGTCAATTACACTTAAAATTACAGGTTTTTTCTATAGATGTTATTTTATATCATACCTGAAAAATTTTTAAATTTTTTTTATGAATATATAAAGCTAAATAATGAATAAAGTCTGGTATACAGCTATGTATATATCAACAATCATGATTTAATATTATAAATATTTTTCCAAAATTTTTCCTTATTCTCTTGAGTTTCTCTGATTTCACTGACCAATTAAAAATTCCCTTGGTAATTCCACGTTTTCCCGGTTTTCCAGTTAGTGAAACAACCCTGATTAATAATAAATATACATTAAGTGTAAAATAATAAATATTCTCTTTGTACGTTTTTCATATGTTAAATTTGTCGTTAAGCATGCAGTCATGCTTTTTCTAGTGTGCAAGTAAATCTATGTGTCTTTTTCTAGTACGAGCAAATCACGTTTCACTAAAAAATTGATGAACATTGTTCGCAATTAAACATTTAAGACATTTATAAGCTGAGATTGGTTTTGTTGATTCTGCTGTTATAGATGAAGTGGCTATTGGAATGGTACTAGCTGAAGAATATTTTGATGAGGTGGTAAATTTTGAATAGGTACTTTGAAAAAAAATCAACTGAAAAATCAATTTACTTGTACAACTATAATTGTCCGTTATAAATTTACTTGTTATTGCTGTTGATACCAGTTGCGGGTTAACACCGGGTGGTGCGGGTGCATTAATATGGTGCATTGGTACTTCCCTATACAAAGGGTTGTAATCTTCTTAGTAATAAGAACACATTAAATGTCGTATTCATCAGTGATATTCCTCTGTAGTTGTTACAATTAAGTTTGTCATCTTTCTTGTTTAGTGGTACAACGGTGGATTTGTTCTATTTTTCTGGAAGTTCCTCATATTTCCATATTTTTTGATATACCTCATATTTTGCTGTATATTATATTATATTATGAATACATCGTTTACTATTTGTTTCGCCCTTTGATCTATTCATATTGGCACTGATCTCACTGATTCTTCACTAATAAGCAGTTCTTCAAAGTAATTTTTCCATCTTGTTACTTTATCAATTGAGTTTATTAAAATGTTGTCATCAATATCCTTGACACCTTTCAGATTTGGGTGAAATTGTTTTTATGTTTTAATCTTTACGAAAAAGTTTCCTTATTTTACTTGGTGTTCAGTCTTGCTCTATCTCACGTAATAGTCCATTCATGTAATTAGTTTTTTCTTTCTGTATGTTTACATAATCAACGTAAGTATGATTGATTATGGATAACTTACAATCGAATACTACATTATATCATAAAAGATTTGTTAAAATTATAATTAATTCCAATAATAATAATAATAATAATAATAAAAAACTTAGTTTTATACGTATATAGAGTTAGATATATAAGTATATTTGTGACTTGGGTAAATGATCAAATTTTTTTTTCTTATAAATTCATATTATAATATTCAACATATATAGTCAAAAACTATTTTTGTAAAATGCTTTTAAATAAATAAAGAGAAAAAACAAATTTAAGTTGTCTTTTAATTCTTAGATGTTGGCTATAATTAATATCGTTGAAATATAAACATGATTTCTAGAGGGGTTTTCACTATTGTTTATTAACATTTAACACACGAATTATAATAATAATTCATTAATTTTTACAGTACATAAAGATTTTAAAACTTTTTAATTTTAATCTAATATAAAATGGACCAACATCAAAATCAAACAGAATGCGAACAGGATAATGCAATCAATGCATGCAGAGAAGCGAAAAAAGAAGTCGTGCAAACAAATACTAATTGTCCACAAACAAATACCCCAGCCAAATCAAACTGTGCAAGACTCGATTCAAAATGTTGTACTTTATCACCAGTTTCACCAGGTCCTGTTGCTCAGTACAATCCTTGTGAAAAAATTCAATACTGCACCAAAAGACTATGTAAAAACGAAAAAAATGAATGTGGAAAATCTGAATTAACCGATTACGGCAAAGAATACGCATCAAAAACCGGATCTTTAGTAAGTGAATGAGAACTTCCAGAACTATATTGTTATTAACTTATTAATAAAATATAATATAATTTAATATAAATGTAATATTATTGTTAACTATATTGATTTATTGTTAATATGACTTTAATATGTTTTTTCAGATTAAAAATTGCTTATGTGTGAAACATAATGGCCTACAGGATACATGTAAACATCCTGGTTGTTGCACCAAAATTGGATGTTTGGATAATCCGTCCCCAACTTGCCCACCAGGAAAGAAATGGAAAAATGATTATAATCGAAACAATAGAAGAACAGACGAATGTTTCGATTAAAATACAATTTTACTTATATACCTTTATATACGAATTTATGACATATGTATACATTAAAACACGTAAACATATAATAATATTTGCAAATATAATATACGAACATTAGAAAATACAAAACGTTTTATCGTTTATTATATAATTAACTTTTTTTTGAACCATTATAATTTTTCTCATTTGGTTATCTAACCATTAGATTTTAATAGCATATGATTGATAAACTGTTCGACATGATACATAGATTATGTTAAGTAGGTAGAGTTACTGAAGCCGAGTTTTTACAGTCACGTTTCTATTATTTGTTCATCGAATAAAGAATAATTGTAGTTGCTTTAATTTCTTCTTTAAGTACTTTCAAAAATCAATTTTCAGTCTTATGAGACATTGAAATTAGAAATAACTTTCCTAAAAACTCTTAATAGAAATAAGAAAAAATATAATTTTATAATCGTATATTCTTTGATTTACTTATTAAATCTAAAATTTTTTATATTTGTATAGTATGTCATAGATAAATTTATAATATAATTAAACATTTGAAGGAAAACTAATTAAATGAAAATAAAAATTATCATTCAATTTGTTTATAAAAATGAATATTTAGAAAATATTATTTGTATTTGGTTTACTATAAGTTATATTTATTTTTATTATTATTACTTATTTATAATTAGTATACACTAATACAGTACTATACAGTTAGTAAAAGGGATGATACAATGCAAAAGCTGTTCATAATAATTTGCGAGAAGGAAAGACTATATAATCTTACATTTAAAACCCTGAAATTCAATTTGTACCGAAGAAAATGTGTTTAACATGTTGTGAGACATAACCTTAATAATAAATATATTATAAACATTAAGCAGTATAAATATTTCAAATAATAAATATTCGTATCTGGTACACATTATTATTTATGTAACCCTCTTAATTATTGGTATGCGCTGCGGAACATTGCTAAATTGTAGTCCATAAAGTATAAACTCTGTAGGTACTATATCCGTATTAATTTGAAAAATAATCGTATACCTCTTGAAAGAGATATTTTTTCAAATTCACTCGTAATTCTATTTACGTTTATTGATTTAGCCATTTTTATTGTACAGTTTTTAATAAATTCACCGTTACTCAGAGATTTCTTAGATTTTGCAATTTTATTAGAAATAACGTATGATGCCATTAAACTTAATTGTTGTGAAGTTGTTGCTTATACCATCACATTTTGTTGAGATTAGAGTTTTCTTTTCAGATCAATTACAACATTCTCTCTTGCGACACCGGTGTATTTATCATATTTGGACGAATGATTTGTCATGTAATGTCTTTTCAAATTATATTCTTTTTGTACTGCAATAATATTTAAATAAACTAAACATTGAGGTTTTTTTGTTTGTTAATAATAAATAAATATTCATTCTCCCATAAGCTATTAAAAATTCTATTTTCGTCTTCGATTTTACGCTTTTTAGCGGACATTTTTAAAATAATTACTACAAAACACAAAATAATAGTACTAACGACGCGGCGGTGTGACACTACGGCAGTACAGATATGACTAAACTGATAAAATGAAATAAATAGTATGTCAGATACGCCATTATAAATATATATTTAGACAATTAATAATTTAGTTTCGGTTTAAAACTAGATAAGAATTTATATCCACATTTTATCGAAAAATGTAATAAAATAAAATAAAATACAGTTAAGCGCTAAAATTATATGAAGTAATTTGAAAATGTAGCGCGGGCCAGATAAAAAAAGTAAACGGGCCGCCAGTTGCCCATCTCTGGTATGCGTCATAATGGCGTTATTCCTAATGTATACATAAGTGTATTATAATATATAATATGAGATACGAAAAAAAATTTTTGTTAGAGTAGTTTATCAAGTTAATGTTCCACCAGGAGCATATTTAGACTTACTTCTAGGGGGGGGGGGCTTAAATTTTTTCTTTAATTCAGGCTCAAAATGCACAAGTAAAATTTTTGGTAATATTTATATCCGATGAATCCTTAATATTTGTGGTTTTTTTTTAATCTAGTGTCGGATCCACTTAGAATGGTCTTTTGTGTAGTTCTTTTTTAACACCTTTTTTAACCTATTTTGAAAGTTTCGCTTGTGTTTTATCTAATTTTTCACTAAGTACGGACTGGGTCTTCAATAAAATAATATAGGTATAATATTTATCATTATGGGACATATAAACGTTATAAGCAATTAAGCGTTTAACGCTATATATAATTTAAACGTTATTCAATTTAAGCGTTTAAATGTTATACAGATTTAAACGTTTAAAAAATTTTCCGTTTACCGTTATTGACAATTAAAACGTTATGAAAAATTTAGCGTTTTGCGTTATTTAAGTTAGTGTAAAATTTGAAACGTTTTCAAATGTAGTAACAGGTCTAGATAAATCTAATAGAATAGATCTATCTAGTAAATCTAGATAAATATGTCATTTTGTGTACTTAAATTATCATGGAATAGCGGTAAGTAAAATTTTTTTTGAAAAAATTGAATTTTTTGAAATTTTTTTTTTTTGTTTTTTTAAGCTTTAGCCAAAACTACTATTCAAAAAATTGAAGTCCTTATAATTTTCCAATTTTATATTTTTTATATGTATTACCATTGATTATAAATACTAATTATAAATAGTATTTATAATCAATGGTATTACCGTAGTCTCAAAAATGTTTGATATTTGTAGCAGTGAGCCATATTTATTTGCGATACTTGAATATTTAAGACTTGTAAAATAATATAGTCTAATAAGTTCAGCGTACGTCACCATTGAACATAACGTTAGTTCTTAATATTACACTATGATCATAATTATTTATTCCTTATAAAGGGGCTGAACATTTTGCTGGTTCTCTTTATAACTCTTTATTAATTCTTTTTAGCCATAAAAATAAAATCAAAAACATCCTGAATAGAAATTTAAGAATTTAGGTGTTCATTCATCATAGGGTTACACAACTTATTTTTATGTCTAAAATATCGAAAAGACAAATTTATTGCTTGTGGGTTAATAGTGATAAAGTCACGAAGTTATAATATAATTATACAATTTACATTTTTTTAAATACTTAATATTAGGTAGGTACCTAAAAAATATTGTATTACATGTTTACATAATATGATGCAATGCATACATTTTTCACAGTTTCTATAAAAAAAGATGTATCATAGTATTGGCCATTTGTGATTGACAACTGTAACAAAACAAATACATTTTATTTTATATATTTTATATATTTTTATTTATATATATTAAATAAAATAATGTGTAATTTTAAATTTGAAAAATCATACCTAATCCTTCAATGGTGTTAATTTCTGTTTTTTCGTGGATGTACAATGATTATCTTCCTCATCTTCAAGTGTCTCTTCAAATATTACTTCTTCTTTATAAATGATCAAAGCAGAGTTTAAACATGTTAAACCTTGGTAATGTTTGCAAATTACTGAACACTTCATACCCGCCTTTCTACAGCCACAGTTCTGTTTACACATTTTCGTATAGGCACAACTGATAACTGTCAGCAAAGATTTTGATGTTGGAGGTTTTTTGGTGAAAATCGTTCTAATTGTATTTCCATATTTTTCCCACCCCCAATCTATTGAATTTAATACATTGCCACGCCAAAGTTGCACTTGCAAGTAAGATCGAAAAATGTGTTGTTTTACAGAATCAATTGTTGGCGAAAGTCGACTTAATTGTACTTGTTTATTGTTTGAAGCAACGATTCTGTTGAAGACATAATATCTATACTGGTTCAATGATGTAATGAATTTTGATGCATTAAATAGTTTCAAAAGGAATTTTTGTCCAACACTGAAAATATCATCAGCTGAAGATGACTCATTATTAAGAATTTATAATGAATCTTGAAGTTCTGAATGTTTCTGAAATATTTTGACGTATTTCAGTTTTCTTTGTTGAAATATTGATGACGTGATACAGCATCCACTTATTGCGTGATTAAACATAAAATGCGGAATCATATTTTGAAATTGTTCTTTTAGAGTTTGTATCGAGTAAAACTTGGTCTCCATTTTTCCTCTTTCAGGTTTTAAAAACACGATTTGATCGTTCTGTGAAGTACTCGGTGTCAGTTTTCAAAAACTGATTAGGTGGAGGAAAATATTTAAGATCATATGGTATTTATCTGATATCTTCACGTATTCTAGTAGCAGTTGTTTTTACAACTTTTAATCGTTCTTCTTTCTTATCTCTTTTTTAGAATCATAACACGCACTCGTCAATATTGTATACCCTGTGTTTCTGAAACAAAATACCGATTTTTTTCCACGAGCTGAGGTTATAAGTATGTCATCACTGTATTTCTCTTTTAATTTATTTCTGAAAGTTTTTTCTTCGCATAGCCCTTCCATCTTATCAAACAACATATACATACTAAATTGGAATTAATTTTCGTTTTCAATAAAATCGCACAAATTGGAAAAAGTATTTTCCAACTGTTCGTCATGCGGTCGCCCCTTTTTTCTATTTTTGATAGATGGAAATTGATTGCAAAATTTTCGTTCACATGCCTTATGGTATATTGCCTCTTAAGCAACTAAATAAATAACACTATTTATCCACCTAAGTGAAGTAATTAGCCCAATCATTACCTCTTTTATTCGTCACATCCAAAATTGATTGTTTGATATAGATTGTATAGACATTAACGACTGTATCACGACAGTTTTTATTTAATTTAATTTCTAACTTTTTTGAACATGGATGGTCATAAAATAAACAATTTTCTTTAAATTTACATAAATATTTAGAACTATAGTTATTCTATAGTTTCTATGAATACGATTACTGAAATAATTCTAATAACGGAATTTGATGAAATCCTGACGCAAAATCAATTACACTAAATAATTGACATTGTCCTAATTAATCTAATATTTCTGTCATGTTAAGTAGTGGATGAAATTAATTTAAAGTTACTTCATTTAATGTTCTAAAATCTATAACTACT